TCTCTCTCTTGTGCACCAGGTGGGAAAACTTGCTGATTGCTCCGTCTTCTGTTTAACAGAGAATGGGAGCGTGTTCTCATCCCTCCTCAAACCCAGCTGTTCCAGCTTTCCCTGACCCCTGATCCTGTCTAAGAGACAAAACAGTTTCTGCAGGAGGCTGTAAACATGTTTACTTCTGCTGTAAAAGTAGGCATTTTAACATGGGAGTCTTTAGGGAACTGACTCACTTTTGAAGCCAGCCCCAGTGGACATTAGAGGACCTGCAGTTATTGGAACTTGAGCACTAGGTTCATTTTTCAGGCTCCGAGGTTTCAGCTTTAGCCGTCCTCTGGCTTCATTGCAGTGTTTGATGCTTTTTGCTCTTGTTTGGACAGAAAGAAAAATGAAACAAACACTTCTCCTCTCACTTTTCAATCTGTCCATTGCCTGTTGAATCCTTATGCTCTTGACAGCAGGCACACACTCACTCACAGTGTGTCTCACAGATGGTATAGGGTTCCCCAGCGGGAGGACAGGTGATGAGCAGGTGAGTCTCACTTTCCCTTGCTTTGTGTCGGGTTACTCCAGCGCGAGACACACATTTGTGCATCTACCTTGTGAGGATTGCCTCTTACATAATGCTTTTTCTTTGTGTAACCTCGCAGCTACAGTCTTTAAATCTCTAAAAGTGGGTCATCACTTTCTATAAATGTCCTCATGTTTAAAGTCTAAACTTCAAAGCGGTTCCCACAAAGGCAGAAGTACACGAACACACACTAACCTGCACGCTGTGCCAGCTGGACCGGGTATCGTCTAGACTTTTTTTTAAAGTGATCCTGGGTCTGGTGATTGGTGCTAAAGTGCTTCAGTTTAAGGTTAAGAGGAAGATGTGAGGCTGTTTTTTATTGCTTGTTAATAAATAAAAGAAGCTCAGTTCATACACAGATCAGCTCGTATCCATGAGTTTTACGTTGCCTGAATCATCAGCGTCACAGCAGTGAAGAAAAAACTGACCTGTATCCACATCTTGTTCGCTTGCTGTTAAGGAAACTGTGCTGTAATGCTTTATAATGGCAGTGGATTTTACCCGCTGTTATCCAGAAGTTCAGTTTAAATGGTGATGTGTTCACTTGCAGTTGAACTTTGCAGCCTTCACTCACTCTTTCACTCGAGAGCATCATTAAATAGCATTTTAACAGCTCTGCATTCACTTTCTGTAGCAGGCGCTGAGAGCTTTCCAGTTATGATGCACTTACCTATTGCAGCAGAATAGTGATGTGTGTTTTGGACGTATCCATTACTGAGGTTCTCTTATATTGTTTTGCTGCTTTTAAACTGAAGTAAACACAGAACAACAAAGGACTGAAATAAAGAAATCGTCTAAGAGTCTGTCGACAGGATCGGCCCGATGTACAGTCCAAAAATGTAGATCGGTGTATCCCTAACTTGGTCTAATGTGACTCAGGAACTGAAACTACTTTGACTAGAAGTGATCTGAATGTTAAATAACGGGTTTTAAGATGTCAAATGTGAGTGTAACTACAGCAGAAAGAGTAAGTGTGGTTACCATTTGGCAGGGATGTTCACTTCCACTCTAGCGAAAGATCCAAAGCGGTGATCTTTGAGGAAGGCTGAGCCATACTTCTGGACAAAGCCTTCGATGGACTGACCCCACCAGCGGGCATGTCTGTAGCTGTTGCACTTGAGCACCAAAGACCTGCACAAACACTACTTCAGTTTCTG